GCATTAGATAGACAGGTGTACATTTCTAAGGTTAATGAGATGCTTCAGGACGAGAGTACTTATGAGGTCATTAGAAGGGATCCAACAAGGAGGATTATAGCAAGTTTACGCACCTTATTAGTTTGCTGAAAGGAAAAAAGGTATTCATAATATTATCATTAAAACAATTCCTAAAGCTGATAGTCATATCGAAAATAGTTTTAAACTTGTTAAGGAGCTTGATGGTAGGCGACTGAGCAATGAATTCCAGTTAATATCTTTGGATGTAGTTAGCCTCTTCACTAACGTCCCCATTGATTACGCGATGGATTGTATCAAGGACCATTGGCGTTTTATCTCTAAAGATTGCTGTTTGTCGGAGGAGGAATTTATTAAAGCAATACAGTTTGTCTTAGATTCTACTTTCTTTGTGTTCGATAGTGTTATATATAAGCAGAATTATGGTACACCCATGGGTTCACCGTTGTCGCCTGTCATTGCGGATCTAGTTATGCGAAATTTGGAGTGTAGAGCCTTGTCTTCGATTCGATTTCCGTTGCCTTTTTACTATAGATATGTGGATGATAATTATGGCGGCCCCAGATTCTTCAGTTGATTACATCCTCGATATTTTTAATTCTCAGCATCCACGGCTTCAGTTCACTATAGAGGGGGGGAGGGTAATAGATTGAATTTTCTAGATGTTACAGTGATTAGGGATAATAAGACGATAGAGTTCGACTGGTACCACAAGCCGACGTTTTCAGGTAGATACTTGAACTTCTGGTCACAGCACCCGGTTTCTCAAAAAATAGGCACAGTCGCGGGATTAGTTGATAGAGTAGTTCTTCTTTCGAATCCCAAATTTCACTTTAGTAACTTTGTTTTCATAATTGAAGTATTGTTAGGGAATGATTATCCATTAGACTTTATATTTGAGAACATTAGCAACCGGTTGAAGAGCGTTATCATGGCTAGTAATAGGAAAAATGTGGTGAGGGAGAACAGCGTGGATGTAGTGCAGCCTTCGTGGTTTACGGTTCCTTTCGTTCGGGGTATTACTGAGAAGTTTAATAGATTAAGGAGCGATCATATGAGGGTGTCGTTTTATAGCATTAACAAATTGCGAGAATTCATAGGGTACAGAAGGATCCTTTACCGCGTAATAATAGGTCGAATGTAGTTTACAAGATTTCTTGTAAGAACTGTGATGCGAGTTATGTGGGACAGACGTGAACAACTAAAAACAAGAATCACGGAACACAAGAACCATATCCGATGGAACACGTCTACCCGCAACGTTATAACGGAGCATCGGTTGCAAGAGGGACATGAGTTCGATTGGGACAACGTTGCAATACTGGACGAGAGGTTCCTCGGTAGTGTGGTTACACTACCAGAAGAGATTGACTTCGGAAATGATATTCATCAGGAAACAGACGCATGGACTTAACATGCAAACGGATATGGAGGGGCTTCCCAAGGCCTACCTCCCGATTATTGATAGACTATAAAAGGTCGAATTGTTGTCGCGCTTAGTCAGTCAGTGTCGCTCTTACAGGAAGAAGTCTGTCGGGCGTTGACTTTAGATCATTTTCGGGGATACCTTTTCTTGATTTTGATTAATTTTTTAACGATAGTTTTCTAATTACTGTCTCAATAAAGACGAATTAAATCAAAGAGAGACTAACTGTGTCTGACACTGACTGGCCAACTTATCAGAAACCGGTTTTTGAATTATTAAGAGTAATGTTTGCGATGCGGTATCTTGTGATCAGG